ATACATTATAAATAAGACTATAATATTGTATTTATACTATGTTTGGTATGAGAAATTGAGAGATAATAGGATGGAAAGAAAATTTTCATGAGCTCGTTTTAAAAATTGAAGAAGTGAATTATAAAATTTTAATAAAAATGTAAAATAAAAGAGTAATAAAAATTAATTAAATTTTTTTTACTCCATTTATTAAAAATTTTCCTTCCTTTTCCTCTTTTTTTCTCTCCATTTTTCTCGTACCAAACGGATAATATACCATAAAAATAAGATTAAGATATTAAATGTATTAAAAAAAAAATATCATACTATTCAATGCACCTCTGAGGGCACACATCTACCCATTTTATTACAAACAGGTATGCTTCTTGTGTACCGTGAGTGCTCTGCTAACGTGCCTGTGTCTACAAATTATTTACGTAACCTCATTTAAAATTAAAGTTATCACTTTTTCCTTCGAGGGAGCGTAATGGTCCACTCATGCAGTCAACATCCATCCCTAAAACCAGACACACAGAAACATCTAACCACACCTGACCAACTCATTAGGTAGAAATCTGAAACAGCACACTCAAAAAGCACATGCGACAAAAATTTTGGATTTTCAATGAGATGGGGGCGTCACTCACGTTAACTGGCCACCTCCATGGTGCCTTGTTTCGATCCTTAACGCTATGTTTGGTACGGGGTTTTCGGAGGGAGGGGAGGGAATTGCTCCCCTCCTCTTGTTTGGCTGGTATAATTTTTTAGAAGGGGAGGGAAACTCCTCCCCTCCCCTCGTTTGGTTAAGATATTTTTAAAAGAGGGAGGGGTTTTTCTCCCTTCCCTTCCCTTCTAGCCTCCCCTCCAAAGTGAGGTTTTTTGGAGGGGAGACGAGAGATGATATTTTAATTCCTTATATACCCTTTTGATTTGTTAACTTCTAATCTGTCATAAACATTTCTACATAAGAGAGTTCTTTGAGCATCTAATAAGAGGTTATTAAGATATTATCTCCAAAATTAGTAACATTTGTAAACTTTTTTTTCTTCTTCTAATCTAAGAGGCCGTTGGTATTTTCTTTCACCTTCAAGGTCTTTTCTCTGATTGAAATCTATCACTTGTGAGTTTTTGTCTTGATATTCTATAAGTGTGTGACTCTATCTTGTAAATCAAAATTAGTGAATTGTATTATATATATATAGTTATATCTTAACAAAATAAAAGTGAGAAAATTCATTTAAATTTTATGAGGCTAAAATAGTCAATTTTTAATTAGACAAAATAAGGTATTATTAAAATGCTCTCCTCTCCCCTCCCCTCCAATCAATCCAAACAGGAGATCATTAAATCCCTCCCCTCCCTTCCCCCTCCCTCCCCTCCCCTTTGTAGCTACCTTCCCCTTTCCTCCCCTCCCCTTCCCTTGATTAAAATCCCTCCCCTCCCCTTCCTCCATCGAGCCAAACATAGATTGGATCAATATGTAAATTGGAGAGGTGTAATGTGAGTAAACTTTATGGATCATTAGGACTCATTTTCGAATTTGCTTGCAGTGCTGCTTATTATCCTTCTGTTTATTTTATTCCTGCGTTAAATGAATGCCTTCATTTTATACTCAGACTAAACACTTCTTTTTTGGATGTTATTTGGCAAATGAGACGAATTCCCAACGATTTGACAATGTAGTTTATTATTAATTTTATTCTAATTGGTTTAGTAATTGCATAAGGTTAAAAAAAAAGTCCTCCTCATAAAAAATTATTTTTTTAAAAAAAATAAAAACGATATATGTTTGTATATTATAATAAAAGGGTATAATTAGTATAATTATTTAAATCAAACATTTTATATTACACATTATACACATTAGACAGTTATATAAATTTAACGCGAAACAAATAAAATAAATTTAGTAAAACTAAAGTATCCGGCTTTATACTGCCGCGCTCTTCTTTTTCTTGGAACAGAAGTCTTCTTGGTTTTTGTACAATTTTTACGTGGTTCATCCCATTCTCCGACTACACAAGAGGATCAAGCTTGTTTGGATTGGCGATACACTAGGCTGTTACAAATGGCTAGCGCATCATTTTAATTCCTCCCCTCATATCTTACCCACTTCTTGGCAATTTTTGCGGAAAACGAAGATCCCTTCTGAAGATGAAATGCTACTTTTAAAGACTGAACAACAAATTCCTGACTTCTAATTACTTCAAGACTCATCACTTGAACATCACTTGAACATCATTGAGATTTATCCTTTTTGTGGACATACCTCTGAATCTCCACAACATCTCTTTTAACTAGCTCTCTTTCTTAGGCTTTTCTGGTTTGATTCATCACTTGGCTTTCATTTTCATTCTGATTCTTACATTTCCTTGACTAGCTGTATTTCCTTTGGATTTTATATATTACAAGGAGAAAACCATATAATCTTACCTTTCTATCGTCTGGTTTGGACTCCTTATGGTTTTTTTCGAAAGTAATCTTTTTTGCAGGTAAAAGATTGCACCTCATGAAAGGTGGAAAATATGCAACAAAGAGGGCGATTCAACTTCTCACACTCAATCAGGATCTTCACGCTCCCATTATTCTAATTCTGAAAAGGGGTAACCCATATTTGCATTTGCAGACGCAAAAAATTGCGGTCACTCTTCATGTCTTGTTTGTTGGACATTGAGCTTCTATTTCAGAAAGACAGGAGACTAGAAGTCCAACACATGGACATTTTCGTTTACTGGAATCATCAGCATTCCCATCACTGGTCCTTTTATCCTCCAGTCATAATGCACAAATTACAGTTGCAACTGATATTGCTCTAGTTCTAAATGAAAGTCACTTGTGGGGAGCTGTGATCCTAAATGTATATAAGTCATTTGTAATATATTTAATAATTATTTTTCAAATTCACCTTTATTTAATTCTTATTGAAAAGAGAAAGAGAGAAGGGAGAGATATGAGAATAATTTATAAATATATAAAAAAAATTGGAAAAAAAATGCAAAATTGAAAATTTTTGTTAGTTTTTTGTTGTTGTTGTGGGAGAATATACCATAAGTGACTTGTATTCATTTTTTTCCTTTTACTTCTCATTATGCTGTAGCTAATGTTTTTTAATTCCCCTTAGTTATTATGTTCTTAAAGCTTATTCAAAATGGTTTATAAATAGTTTTTCAATTGTAATTTGCAGAATATAAGGTAAGTATACAAAAAGAGTTCTATATCGACTTACATAAAATATGCTTAATAGTAATTTCAAATGATAATCCAAACAAGTCTCTAAACTATTTTGAATTCTGAAAGTTATGAATGTCTTCCTCCACAACTTTATTAATTTGTTCTTAATATTTGTTTGTGCATTTTAACAACCAACTCATCATTTAACAACCACGGATCCAATCCAACTCATCACCGCACAATCATTGCACAACTAATTTCAATTGTCACAGCTTTAATTGTTGTGATTTATTGAGTTGAAGTTGTTGCTTATTCCCTTTTATCTTTATTATAACTTCAAATAACCAGTTTGTTTATAATGAATAATTAGTTAAAATTAATTAAAAATAATAAATATGTAAAAAAATACTTTTGTTTCCAAAAATATTCTTGTAATAAATAAAAAATGATAAAAGAAAAAATACAGAGAAATGTAATAAGAGAAAGTGTGCAAGTAAAGAAAGAGAATAATAATTAATGGTGAAAATAAATAAAAAAATACATGTTAAAACAAACCTAAATTAAAGCTTATGAAATGGATTACACCCCTCTTCAAATTTAAAGTTTATAAATAGGACTAGAAGAAATATTAAACTATTATTGTCACTTTGCATTTTCATTTTTTATATTTTAAATTAAGGGGTATTTATATAATTTTGCCATAATTTAATTCCAAATCACTTTATATGGACTTTTTAAGGATTAATGGTTAACCTAGAATCAGACTAGTCACGATTAAAATCAAATAATTTAACTAAAATATATAAAATATTCACATATGACTCTTAAAAGAATAATACTTAAATAAAAAGGCATTATTAATAAGTAAATGAAATATTCAGGTATAAACCAAAAAAATTCTAGAAAATAGAGTTACTAAATCACAAATATAACACAATGTTATTTTCTTAGGATTGAAGATGAAGTTATATTAGGTTTAATAAAAAGAAAAAAGAAAAAATCTAACTCAGATGATCCATCCTAAAACTAGTTAATGGACTAATTCAATGGGTTTTAAATTGTACTACCTCTTGTCTTAATATAAGATTATGTTTGACTTTTATTTTGATCCTAAATATAAGACCACAATCCACTTTTTCTCTCATATTTATATTTTTTTTCAAAGTATTCATTCTAACAATGATAGTTCTAGTCAATACACTTGATTAGTAAGGATATTTTAGGAAAGACAACACTTATTTAGGACAAATAATTAACTCAGCTTGTTTTTTAATTTTCTCAAATTAGTCAATTGGCTCTTATAATTAGGACCGGAGTAGTAGTAATTTATAAATTTGTGGACATTTTTGTGTCCTTACATTTTATTATTTCATTAAAACATTTTATTATTGATTATGATTAATATCAACTCTTCATCAATAAAAGGAGTGAAACTTAATAGTTTATAATTTTTTAAAGTTGAATAGTTCTTCTTCGTCTTATTTATATATCTATTATATTTAAATAAATGCCTATTTATGTTTTCTTTTCCTTTGGGAAAAGAATTGAATCGGAAATAGTCGCAAATTGTTCAGACAATGACGCGATGATTTTCCCCGCACCGAAGATCGACACGACGATGGTGTTTGCCTCCCATTTACATCGGGTCCAAAATCCAAATAAAAATCGAATCGAATTCGAATGCAGCGGTTGCGAATGTCGAGTGTGCGCTTTCTAAATATCACATTCACGCGCATTTGCGGACGTGTCCCCTCTTCTTTTCTGCACTTTCCCACCCCCACTCTCTCTTCACCACCCCCTCCCTCTTTCTCTTTCTACTGATTCCTTCTCTGAATTCTCTCTTCCTCTTCTGTCTCTCCTTCGATCTGCATCGATTCCATCGGAATCGGGGGCCCTCGTAATGGCCGACTTGCAGGAAAAACGCCGGAGCTCTTCTTCCAGTTCCAGCGATCTCTCGGTCAGAGTTCAGCATGAAGTGCCTGATGGTGTTGGGAGTGGAAGTAGCAAAGGAATTGGAATGGATGGTAGTAGAGATGCCGCTAATGGTGCCTCACTTGATAATGGTGGCAGTAGCTCTTCTGGTTTGTAAAATTATCTTTGTTGGACTCATCTTCTCTTCCTCCTCCTTCGTCTCCTGAGTTTATGCTTTGTAAATTAAGAACAACAGAAGAAAATTGCATTTGGACTTGTCTCTAGACAACCATTAGTCAATGGACTTTGGTTACATTATAACAGATTCCTTAAGATTTTTTTTCCCCTGAGAAGTTCTATGTCATTAATTATAGTTACCTCTTACTTGATTTCTAGAAAACTGAACGACCGGCAAAATCCGATCGAAATAATCCTTTGAAAATTTGAAGTTGGCGGCTTTGGAATATCACGGACCAACTGCCCCAAAGATAATCAATACGTGGGAGACGGGATGGGCTTATTTAATTCTAACTTGTTTGCCGTGCCAAGCGCACCTCTCGCGGGGAAGGTCATTAAGAACCTTTGGGATTTCGTCGAATGGATTATTTATCACTGTAATCCACCCCGGCAGTTGCACTTATTTTGCTATGAACATTGCGGGTTATACTGAGATTAGCCACTTGTAGTCATAATAGGCGGGATTATACGCTAGGTTATCCGACTTCCCAAGAACAAAGCACAAAGCAAATTCCAATTCCTTGTCACATAAGTAGTCAACTGTGGGGATTAATGAAGTCAACAGGGTTCACAAATGTCATTGTGGATGTAATGCTGTTAAATTAAGGATATTCAACTTCCTAGGAACCAAGCAAAGGACTACAGCTGTTGTGCGCGCGCGCGCATGCGCATGCATGCATGTTTCTTTAATGTATTTATGTTTCTGCGTGTGCGTGTGTTGTAGAAGTAACAGACAATCCGAGGTTTAGTATTGTCTTTGAGGAATCTGATATCTTTAGACACGTATCTCATGGTGGAAAAAGTTTTATATTCTTTCAGTGATATGAAACGCATCTTTTTTCTCCTCCTTTTTTGGTTGAATGAAAAATCTTATTCCGAGAGCAGAAGCATTCTAAGAGCTGCTATGTGGATTTTAGTCTCACTGACATTTGTTAGTGATGCCGTCTCACTCTACTCCATCGTAATTTGTATTGAAAATTTTTCAAAATAAATTTATCCAAGTTGGGATTTACTGACTAGTTTGGCCACTTAATGTCAAAAGCTATATAAGTACCTGGAATGTTTTATCGTTGCTTTTTAGGGAAATCTCAAGTGTTCAACAAGATTCTCTGGCGTGCAAAATATTGAACTTTAAGCCTTCATTCCTTTTATGAAATAAAGGGGGGGCCAGATATTTGTTGTGAGACCACAAAATTGTTGGAGGCTTGGCCATCAGTGTTTAATGAAAAGCAAATTGTGGAAATAGATACAGCCCAAACAACTCATATTATATGATATCCTTTAATCTTATCATTGGCATGTTGTAAAATGATTAAATGACTGTATGGATACTTATGTCATTTTGAAATGTGCTTTATTAGAATCATGGTCACCTTATGCTAAATAGTTGATTATTAGTGTATCAACGCTTAGTTACGTCATCTTGTTTTGTGTGTGTTTGTGTTATTATTGGATTTTGCATTTTCTTTGCCTCTTAACTTCATCATGTCTTCTACAGGCTTTTCTTGGTATTTGATCCTTCCAGGATTTTGTGGTTTCTTGACAGTCTAGTTGCGGATCAGTAATGATCTTTGTTCTTTGCAACATTTTTTATGATTAACTAGATGTGGGGCCTGTGCTATGCGCAGAGCCTAACACAAGCTAGTTACTATTCATATGTCAAATGGCTCTCTATAGCTTTTATAGACTATATAGATATATAGATTCTCTTCTTTACGTGCAACACACATAGATTAAGCGTTGGTTGCCTGATATGGGTGTCATGACCTCTTTGTCTATTACATTTATTTGAAAGTTTATCAGAAACTGCTTCTCTCCTTTTTGTTGGTAGATTAATTCCTACTTCCTATAACTAACCTATTGTGAGGTTCTCTGTCAATCGCACTCTATCATATCACAATTACTTTTTTTAACATTATGTTTGATGCCTTGACTTTGTTGCTCATTTCTGGGTTATATCTAGGGTACTCATGTTTACTGTTCTTGCTCAGGGATTTCTGGGAGAGGGTTGTGTAAAGTGAGCACATTACCTATAGGAATATCACATACTGATAAGTTGGAGTCAAATTCAAGCCAGTCTAAGTTGGAAAGATCCAAAACAGAGAGACAGAGACATCTACGGCCCGAGGATGCGGCACAAATTTTTGATGACAAAATTCCTGTCCAAGAGAAGGTAATTTACTGTGATCTATAAACTTTTGCCTTCCCTCACCCCATATGCTGGTTTCCAAGCATTCTTTCGTCACCCACTTCTAAAGACTAATGGTAGCAGTTTTATTACCTAAGAATAGCTACCTAATAACTAAACCAACTAAAGTGAAAATAGGCTGACTTTGATTCCATGTATCTGCTTCAATCATTATAGAACAGTTGGATATTCTAAATAGTCAAGTTCTGACAGTCTTCTTTTAAGCATAATTGGTTTTCTTGTGAGGAAGTAGGAATTCTTTGGCCAATAAAAATTTCACTGATTGGAACCTAATGAATGTTTTGGGCAAAAAAGTGGTCAATGTTAGTTTTCAACAATCACCATGCTCTTTTTGACATCATTATCATCATCATCTTATATTTTAAGCTTATCAGCATGAACCCTCAGTTAAATTTTATAATTGTGCAGCTTAAATTGTTAAACAGAATAGCTACTGTAAAGGGTGATGGAACTGTAGAATTTGAAGTTCCAGGAGATGTAGAACCTGAAGCCCTCAGGGCTCAATCCAAACATGCAGATAATGTAGTTGATGATGATTCGCTTGATGCAACAGACCTTCAATACATACCGCCATTACAGATAGTAATGCTTATTGTTGGTACACGTGGTGATGTGCAACCATTTATTGCAATAGGCAAACGATTGCAGGTACATACTCTATTCATTATGCCTCAACTTTTGCTTGTCCCCTTTTAGGGGTGGCGAAACTCCAACCCCGATGGTTAAAAACAAAAACAAGTTCTGTTCATAGTAACACATTTTATTGAATAAAGAAAGCACCATACATCAACTGGCGACATTGGTACCAGTGGTGATTCTTTGAAGGCTTAGCCTTTGGGTTTCAAGATGGAGAGCTGGTAACAAAGATCCAGAACATAAAGAAACCACATCACATCAACATATTTTCACCGGAGTCCTCTCAAATTCAAAAATAAAATTGGCAATAATTTTTTTTTTTGTTGAATTTGCTGGAAAAATGTGCTAAAATATTGAATACTTCCAAATATTGCAAGCTGCTTTATAATTATTAGTGGTGTCATGAAAATGTGGCCGGTCTGAAAGCCATAGCCTTATGTTTTTTTCTGTGATTATGGAATTCCTTGGAGCCTCTTTTGAGCTTCATTTGAATGTGGGCATGTGTTGCGAGATATTTTATTTTGTTATGGGGAAATAACATAAGGAAAACACCTAGAGAAGATTGATAGAGGCTTCCAGGTGTCATTCACTCTGAAAACATGCAGTATGAAGGTCCAGTCATTCTTTCATAACTTTCATGCTTTAAAACGTTGCTTCTATTCTTTATATCTTATCTATCATGCTGCTTCATAGACTATGACAACATAAAATTTGGTGTATGTCACTTGTAGATTGTCAAGGCTAAGTAGTCATCCTAGTTGGCAGATTAAAGAAATTGTTGTGATTCTCTTGGTTTACAAGGGGAAAGACCATATTAGAAGGAAAAAAATATTATGCATGCAGACATAATTATCCTTTCTCATTTTCATTATCCTCCCAGCAAAATTTTCCTCTTAACTTTATTTTGTTTCAATTCTCTTATAGGTTTTAGTCAGCCCTCGTTGTAGTATCCTGATCTACATGCATTGGCTGCATTATAGCATTTCAAACTTTCAAAAAATTTAGATTGGGGTTTAGAAATGAAACTGGGTGTTTGATGTCTTAATGGTATTTAAAAGTCTTTGCTTGAAAACGGGTGCCTGATACAGTATGCTGTCTTGACTATTGCTCAGCTTTTACAACTTAAAATACAATTACTCCATTTTTTCCCCTAACTGCTGCACCAGGGGTTCTCTGCTACCCAGTTTAATTCTCTGGTATTATTTCCTTCCTTGCACAAAGGTGTTAACTAGCAGCTAACTGCTATTAAGTATACTTTGATACACTACTCCAACTTCTGTTAGTGAAAGGTTTTTGTTTATTAAATTGTTCAGACTTCATGTTAGAAGAAACGATGTGTCAATTGCTCGGATAACTATCTTAGAAAAAATAATGTGTTGATTGAATTTTGAAGTTTCAAAGTTTGAATTCCATTGAAGATTCTTTGAGTTAAAATTGAGGCTCTTATATGCATTTATGTGCAGGACTATGGTCATCGTGTTAGGTTAGCTACACATTCAAATTTTAAGGAGTTTGTCCTGACAGCTGGCTTGGAGTTTTATCCGTTAGGCGGTGATCCAAAAGTCCTTGCTGGTTGTATGTACCATAAACCCATGTACATTTCTACTAAATTATCTGAGTAGTCGTTGTTTATCAGTCCTCCTGCTCATTTTGTTTTGGCTTCTTGCTTGTTGTCGAAACTGGTTTAAGGGTATCTTCTGAGGAACCTCTGTTTCAGCCTGTTTCAAAGCACTACTATATATGGTGCATTTGGGCTTCTGCTTACACTATAACAAGTGGGCTTAAGTGTATATTGATATCATCCTATTGAGGCTTTTGACCTCAATAGTGTGTCCATCTGTGCATATACATGTGCATGTTTGTGCATTACCTTTTTTTAAAAATGAAATTGTATTTTTTTTGGTGACATTTAATGCAATAGTTTTGCAAAACAGTCTAATTTGTTAGATCTTTCACATTGGGTTCTCATAACTATATGGAATTTTTTGTCCTGTTGTTGATCAAACTGCGGTTGGGATTTTTGTGCAAGCTGTGCTTGTGGGTGCTTATTTTGTTAACTCCTTTGATTAGATGTAGGCGGCTGGGACTGCTTTACCACTTCTCACACACACACACACACACAGAGTTAAAGGGGTAGGCACTGTTAGCCTGAGGTTACAAGCAGGATCAAACCAATAACTTGAAACTCTCATACCACTAGGCTACAAGGCCATTGTCAGGACAATCAATTTCTAACTGCTCCTAATTTTTGCGAAAATCACTTTCTCGGCAATGTAGGCCATTTCAAAATATCTGTTTTGAAGTTTTGGTTTTTTATTTTCAAAGTTATAAAATTTCATTGAGTATTAATTATTTTTGTACAAATTTATCCTTCATTAATTACAACAATCATAAGTCCACTGATCTCAAATTTGCTTTCTCCATTATTTAAGGATATTTTAGTCCAAAACAAATTAAAACCAAAATTTACTATAAATCTAGATCATTTAATAGCTTTCATAAATTGTATGCATAACCTTAAACGGTAGATGTTTTGAAACGGATGTTGTATGCTTTTTGCTTTTACCCTAAAATTCCCCATGTCTATCCTCTAAGTCTTGTTTTCCATTATCATTAGAGGAAATGGCAAGGATAAGAAACCCTTATGATTTGCAAGAAAAACTTAAGAAAATGGCAAGAAGTGAGGTGCTTGGTGAGACCTAATCTTTATCAGATTATTTGATCTTTTATGTATGTGTATCTTAAATCATTGTAAATCCTGCTCTGTCAACTCCCGTATGATTTTGTAACCGTTACCTTTCTAAGTTATGGATAGCTAAGAAAAAACTGGATGCCTACTCTTACAAAGAATTGGCTGTGCAATATGTTTTCTTCACCCTACTCATTTTCTAAGTGGCAAACTCTTTTGCTTGAAAGAAGCTTGTTTTCCTGAAATGGTCTAAAACAGTGCTTTTGGAGTTCAGATCATGGGATTATAGCCTTCTGTATAATTGTTTTTCTATTTTATTTTTCATTTTCCTTTCTGGAGCAGATATGGTTAAAAATAAGGGCTTCCTTCCATCAGGACCTTCTGACATACCTATTCAGCGAAATCAAATCAAGGAGATCGTTAACTCCTTGCTTCCAGCCTGTAAGGAACCTGATATTGATTCTGGTGTCTCCTTCAAAGCGGATGCAATTATTGCCAATCCACCAGCATATGGTATGTTTTCTTGATCAACACGTGTAAATACGACGGGTTGAATTTGTGCACGTAGAGAGGAGTAAAAAAACATTCTTGTATATTTCATTGATTCTGAATAAGGGGATATATACAGCAGAGGCTTATCAATCTGGGCCGAATGCTTGCCCTGATGCTTGCATTTAAAGGTGCTCCACTGATGGAACTCTTCATTAGCTAAAAGCATAATTTGTCTTACTTGCTCAATCTGATGGAAGAAAGCTTCCATAGTATTTCTTTGAATTTTTGAGACGTGACACATCTAAAAATTTTCTAGTTTATATAATTCCATATCCATTAAAATATTTCTTTTATCACTGTGAATGAAAAATAGTCTGGAAAATCTGCCTCAGAAATAGACCTTGAGCTCCACCAATAGACTTTATTTCTCATCATATTCCAACTTTAGTCATTAGATGATACGCCATGCTGTCTTGTATCTTGGTGGCTTCCAAATTTCTTTTCTCATCTCCGCTGGACATGCTATTATGGACTAATTCTGCTTCTACTTTGTAATTTTGGTTGCTGTTTCTATACTGCTCTTTTATTTGTTTTACTGTGCCTTTTCTGCCTGCTGGTTAATTATATTTTTCGACCTGTCTGAAATTGTGATGCCAATCTTTAGGGCATACCCACGTGGCAGAAGCACTGAAAATACCAATACATATATTTTTCACTATGCCATGGACGTAAGTCTCATCTATGTAATCTTGTTTCACAATTTCATCCAGTTATTCCAGTCTACTGTTATTCATTCATGTTCTTTACCTATTGATTGCGTTGGTTTTAGCTTTGTTGGGGGATTTAAATCCACATTATATGTATTTTTCCTTTTCCTTCCAGACCAACCAGTGAATTTCCACATCCTTTGTCCCGTGTTAAGCAACAAGCTGGTTATAGGGTGAGTTATTTATTTCATATCTGTTATCATCTCCTTTCATCCCTTTTATTTTTGTTGCCCTCTTGTTTCACTCAAAAGTGATCATTTGTAACTCCTTCAGCTTTCATATCAAATTGTCGACTCATTGATTTGGCTGGGAATTCGCGACATGATTAATGATCTTAGGAAGAAAAAGCTGAAGTTGCGACCAGTCACGTATTTGAGTGGTTCACAAGGCTCTGACACTGATGTTCCACATGCATATATATGGAGCCCTCACCTTGTTCCTAAACCAAAAGGTGGTTGTTTTAGGTGTCAGTTTTACTGCTTTTTATGTCAAGTCATTTATTTTATTCGGAGTTTGATAGATACAGTTTCATATCGTAGTGGAGATTTCTTGAATTCTTCATTTCATAACTCTAGTGCCTTGTGTTATGCTTATATTCTTTATGATAAAAATAATTAACTTAAAATATATATTCATTATTTTCATTGGTCTCTTTTTGTGGTTAAATGTAATGAAAAATCTAATTCTCTTGACTGGCAATAGTTGCATTAAAGGAGGATGTTTCTCAGAACTTTTGTGATAGGTTGAATTATGTCTCTTGATATGCAATTTGGATGTTTTACTGTTTTTTCTTGGTTGGCAGATTGGGGACCAAAAATTGATGTGGTTGGGTTTTGCTTCCTCGATCTTGCATCAAACTATGAACCTCCTGAATCCCTCGTAAAATGGCTTGAAGCTGGTGACAAGCCCATTTATATTGGATTTGGTAGCCTGGTGAGTCTTCTTATGTTTACTTTTTATGCCTTTGGTTCGTACATGAATTCTGTATGCTAAATCTAGCTTTAAGAATATGGTTTGGTGACTCATCATTTTTACTGTGGGTAACAAAATGGATTCTGATGACAAGGTGCCTCAAAGCATCTATCAAATGTTATCTTGCTTCCATCTGCTGTAATACATGGGATAACAAATTAAATTGTATTTTCTATTCTTAGAATCAAGGAACTTAGAACTAGTATTATCAATGAGAGCACGATCTGGTTATTTTTTCTGATCTATTTTGAATTGTGAATCTGAAAAATTAAGGAAATTATATTGCAAATCTTGAGGTAATTGTGATAAGGTTCGACTTTTGAGTATTTACATTTTTCTCTTCAAATACTAGGCATCATATGATTTATTTTCAAAGCCACTGCTAGTCAGTCGCCTTCTGATTTTGATTTGGGGAATGCTTGATTTCATATATTTTTTCCCATCCTATAGTGTCATGGAATTACTTACAAATTTTAAATCTCGTTTATCAAATGTTTTATTATTTTGTTTGTACTACTTCCTGTTCTAAATATAAGAGCTAGTTGACTAATTTGAGAATATTAAGGAAATAAGTTAAACTAGTTATTTGTAATAAATAGGTGTTGTCTTTTCTAAAATATCCTTGTTAATCAAGTGTATTGACTAGAACTACTATTATTAGAAGGACTACTTTGAAAAAAAATGCATAAATATAAAAGACAAAGTGGATTAGGGTTTTATATTTAGGACCAAAGTAAAAGTCAAACAAGGTCTTGTATTAAGGACCAGAGGTAGTATTTTTTAAGGCAATAAAGTACTTCATTGTTTGAATTTCTGCCATCTGTTTTTTGATGTTTGTAATATTCTCTCTAAAATAATGATTTTGGTTGTGCAAATGCTCTTTTGCGAGTAATAGATTAGATGTGCAGGTTTAATGTCCTGCTTGATAATAAAGAGAAATCAGGCTTGTTTTACCTCATTGCTTGTCACTGTTGCCTTCTTATTACAGCCTGTTGAAGGGCCAGAAAAAATGACTCAAATAATTGTGCAAGCACTGGAGAAAACTGGACAGAGAGGCATCATCAATAAAGGATGGGGGGGTCTTGGGAATTGTAAGGATATCGCTTATTCTTTCTTCTTCCATGATGATAGTTTATTTGCTTATTTTTGACTACGTATGCTTTTTCCCAGTGTCAGAACCAAAGGATTCAATATACTTATTGGATAATGTTCCTCATGATTGGCTTTTCTTGCGCTGCAAGGCTGTGGTAAGATTTTCTTGTTTGTTTACTCTGGTTCAGCACATTATGAAAGTAACCTCGATGTTACGGAAGCACAAATTTTCTCGTAGTTGTAATAATGGAGAACTGCAGACTTATGCTAGGCATAAGAAAGCTTAGAATTCTGTGGCCAAAAAGAAAAAGAAAAGTTTAGAATTCAATCAAGTCCCTATTTTGGACCCAAAAAGAAAATTAAGTCCATTTTGTTGTCACTCTCCCTATTTCTCCACTTTTTCCTTCATTCTTCTCTTATTTCCCCTCCTCCTTTTTCCCTTGTCCTACATCATGTAATTATCTGAGTGTGTAGCAGTTGTGGACTTTCATGATTTATGTTTATTTTATTAATCTTAATAATATACATAAATAGATACAGAAACAATGAAATTTTGAAATTTCATGCATAATTTTTATTGGATAAAATAGTAAACAAAGGTGACATTCAGGTGCATCATGGAGGCGCTGGAACAACTGCTGCTGGATTAAAAGCTGCTGTAAGGAATTTGTAGCTTCTTGGATTCTTGATATAATATTATTTGGTTATGTTTTCTTCTCATTGTTGTCCTTTGTGATAGTGCCCAACAACCATAGTTCCTTTCTTTGGTGATCAACCGTTCTGGGGTGACAGAGTGCATGCCAAAGGAGTTGGTCCTGCACCTATTCCTGTTGATGAGTTTTCGCTGCCCAAGTTAGTTGATGCAATAAATTATATGCTAGATTCCCAGGTGAAAAATAAGTTCTCTCAACTAGCCAATTTATTTAGTTTGATATTACTAAAAGCCCTGAGAGGAACCTGCTTCTTCTTAACGAACGTTGCGGGCTAAAATATTATGGCTTTGTCTATATTGGTCTGCTAATTATGCATTCATCTTGTTGATTAGTGAATATGTGGTTTTTGATTATGAAGAAACTGATGCAAAATTGCTATATTTTATTCAATGTTGATAGGGAGTTAAATAGATACATCAGTCTTGACCTAGCAGATCATCTGCCAATCATTCCAATGATTAGGCCGAGATCTTAGGAATCAAAATAATAATTAAAAGATAAGAAAATACAATCAGGATCTCAATTTAAAATTCAAACAGCAGTGGATTTAAGTCTATGACAGAATAATTGAGCAATGAAGTAAGGTTTTTCGGCCCAAGCCCATTAGGTTTAAGTCACCAACACTCCCCCTCAAGTTGGCAATGTCTAACATGCCCAACTTGCTTCTAAAACTTTCGAATTCGGTCTAGGGGCTTTGTAAGAACATCTGTGAGTTGTGAGAGTGAGCTTATGTGCAAGAGATCGATCACCTTTGACTTAGTCTTCTCCTTTATAAAATGTCAATCAATGTCTACATGCTTAGTTCTGTTGTGGTGTACCGGATTGTGAACCATTTGTAGAACAGCCATGCTCTCACACCATACCTTATGGGTGAATTAAATTTAATGTTGAGCTCCTTCAAGGCTCTAATTATCCACATGCCCTCACAAACTCCATCTGCTAGGGCTCTTAATTCAGCTTCTGTACTGCTTCTAGAAACTACAATTTGTTTCTTGCTCCTCCATGTTACCAGGTTACCCCACACAAACATAAAGTATCCCCCAGTTGATTTTCTTTCAACTCGGGTTCTTCCATGGTCTACATTACTGTATACTACCATATCTCTAGAGTCTCCCTTCGCAAAGAAGATTCCTCTTCCTGGTCTCATCTTTAAATATTTGAGAATTGTATATATTGCCTCCATATGTGCCTCTTGTGGTTGATCTGAGAATCGACTAACCACTCCAACTGCTAAGCTTATATCTGGTCTTATGTGGACATTGTGAGTGAATAAGAGGGTGCGGGTAACTTCTAGGATATGTCTATTTTTTCTTTTTGCAATCCTATTTTGTTGGGGAGTATTGACACAACTGGTTTGATGGATTATTTTATGGTCACGTAGGTATTAGTGCAAGGTATGGCCCATGCATTCCCTTCCATTGTCACTTTGAAGTGTGAGAATTTGAGTTTGAAATTGAGCAGAAATCATTTTGTGAAAGGTTATGAAGGTTGAAGGCAAATCTGATTTTTCTTTCATTAAAAATACCCAAGTTAGGTGTGTGTGGTCATCGATAAAGGTTGCGAACCATTTAGCATTAGAAAGAGATAGTATTCGAGATGGTCCCCATATGTCATTGTGAATAAGATGATATGGTTTGGTGACTTGATGAGAGTGTGGTTTGTAGGTTGATCTAGTGAGTTTGACAAGTTGGCAAATATCATAGATAAAAGGAACATTACTTCTATTCAATAAATGAGGAAACAACTTTGACATGTAATGCAAATTCGAATGACCGAGCCTATAGTGCCATAACTGTGGAAAACTTTCAGTTTGAATAATCCGATGATTGTTACTGTATTGAATCAGCAAAATATATAGAGTATAGGGGAATCTTCAACCATCAATAGTTGAGATCGTCAAATAAAATCCCATGATATCCTCCTCCTATTATCCTGTAATATAGTCCCTAATAACAGCCTAAGATATTTACAATAATAATATTTACATAATTACCACACGCCCCCTCAAGTTGGATCATAGATATTAATCATGTCCAACTTGCCTATGAATTTTGCGAACACCTCCTCAGGTTGTCCTTTGGTGAGAACATTTGCCAATTGTAACTTTGTAGGAACATAGGATGGACAAATAATCCCGCCTTCAACCTTCTCTCTGATAAAGTGACGATCAACTTCAAAATGTTTCGTTCTACTATGTTGCACAGGGTTTAGAGCCATACTCAGGGCTGCCTTGTTGTCACAGTAAAACTTCAGGGGAGATTCAATTTGAAATTGTGCTTCTTCTGCCACTCTCTTCAGCCATAACCCTTCCATAATACCATGAGCTAGAGCTCTCAGTTCAGATTCTGCACTGCTCTTGGCTACAACTCTCTGTTTTTTACTTTGCCATGTCACCAAATTTCCCCACACAAAAGTACAGTAACCGGATGTTGACCTGCTATCTTTTTGGGCCCCTGCCCAATCAGCATCCATATAAGTTTCAACACTTCTATCATCATTCTTTTTTGAAGAAGAGTCCCTGGCCAGGTGTACCTTTAAGGTACCTTAGAATTTTATATGCTGCATCTATATGTTTCTTCTTAGGAGAGTGCATATGCTAACTGGCTACGCTCACTGCAAAGGCAATATCTGGTCTAGTATGGGAGAAATAAATAAGTTTACCAACCAATCTTTGATATTGTCCTTTATTCGTAGCTGCCTCATCTTTCTCTTGTTTCTTTCTTTATGCTGCTTCTTTTTCTGTTTTTGCTGGATTCTTATCTTTTCTAGCCTTTTTCTTCTTGGTGCTGATAGGAACCTTGCTAGGCCTACACCCAAGCATCCCAGTTTCCTTGAGTAAATCTAGAATATACTTTCGTTGAGAAACATAGAATCCCTTTTTGGATTTGGCTACTTCCATACCCAAAAAATATTTAAGGTTCCCAAGGTCTTTTACTTTGAAATGCTTGTTGAGGGCAGCTTTAATTCTATTTATTTCCTTGACATCATTGCCGGTAAGGATGATGTCATCCACATACACAATGAGGATGGTTATTGAGTCACTATTTCTTGAAACAAACATGGTGTGATCTGATAAACTTTGTTTGTAACCTTCAGTCTTGAGAACTGTAGAAAACCTATCAAACCAAGCTCGAGTTGATTGCTTTAAACCATATATAGACTTTTTTAGTTTACATACCTAACCATCTCTCCCCTTATCAAACCCGGGTAGAAGCCTCATGTATACTTCCTCTTTCAATTCACCATTTAAGAATGCATTTTTAATATCAAGTTGTTGAAGGGGCTAGTTAAGATTCGCAACAATAGATAGAAGAACCCTGATGGTATTTAACTTGGCAACGGGAGCAAAAGTCTCATTGTAGTCTATTCCATATGTTTGAGTGAACCCCTTCACAACTAGTCTTGCTTTATACTTGTTGAGAGAGCCATCATCATTAAATTTTGGTGTGAACACCCATTTGCAACCCACGGGTGACATCCCCTTTGGTAGTGCAGTGATCTCCCATGTATTATTCTTTTCTAGTACTCTTATTTCTTCCATCACAGCATTTTTCCAATCAGGACTTTCTAGAGCTTCATATATATTGTTAGGGACTTTAATATGATCAAGACTAGTAACAAAGCTATAATGATTCCGTGAGAGAGTAGCATAAGATACATACTTCTGAATAGGATGCTTGGTGCATGACCGAGGTTGCTTCCTCAAAGCAATATGGAGTTCTGACTCATTTATCTCCACTGACCAAGACTGCTCAACATCATTGGTCACTAAATCAGGATCCAACACCGATTCTGAGGGTGGCATTGCCTCAGGTATACTGATCCCAACTACCTGTTTGTTTCTACGAGTGTAAGTCTTATCAAATTGTTTTATTTTTGGTTCAACTTCAGCGCTTGGCATAACTGTGGAAGGGTCATTGAGAAGCTGAATAGGATCAGAGGGAGGAACAGGTTCAAGAATAAATTCAATCTGAAATTCATTCCAACTCTTCCCCTGAATTGAAGATTTAGGGAAATAGGATTCTTGTTCCACAAAGGAAACATCTCGGCTAACAAAGAGGTGTTTGGTGGTAGGATCGTAGCACTTGTAACCCTTTTGGGAATTGGAATATCCTAGAAACACACTTGACAAACCTGGGGTCAAATTTGGAAGGAGGATGGTGTTGGTGTACAAAAACGGAACAACCAAAGACTCGAAGGGGTAGAGTGTAATCAAGATGACTGATAGAACGAGTTTCCCTAAGTTTAGCAAGAGGAGTGACATAGGAAAGAATACGACTAGGAAGACGATTTATTAAATGGGTAGCAATGAGAATCGCATCCCCCCAAAAAAACTTAGGAACATTGCAAGTGAATAGAAGGCCACGGGCAACCTCAAGGAGATATTTATTTTTGCGTTCAGCAATCCCATTCGTAAGGGAGGTAGAGTCTCAAGACTCATTATTCTATCTCGAACTTCTTCAAAGGCAGCATCAAGTCCAAGGAGAAATTTAAAAATTCGTTTTTCTTCTTTGATTTTTGCGTAGAGAGCAGCATCTTCAGCACACTTCCACTCATGCGGTTCATATAGAGTTAGCTGTTGCCATTGAACAATCAAGTCAGTGTAATATTGAGTAATTGATAGATTACCTTTCTTGAAGTCATGGAGAAACCGTTCTATCTCCAGTACAGCAGCCTTGTTTTTTATGGAAGCAAACATATCTCGTGCAACATCCCACACCTCCTTGGCTGTTTGAAAAAATGTGAAATGTGCATTATTTCTATTGTCATCGAATTTATTAACCATGCTTGAATCATAGAATTTTCTGCCTCCTAACTTGTGAACTTGTCATCAGTGATAGTAGGTTTCTGGACAGCACCAATTAGGTAGCCATATTTTCCTTTTCCCATGATGTACAGACACACACTAGAGGACCACTACATATAGTTTTCACCATTGAGTCTGTGGATGGTGATTGAAGTAGGGTTAGCATTGGATATCCCTGACTAGTCAGAAGAACCAGTTGCTACGGTCATGGCAGACGAGTTTGAAGACCCAGTCATCATAGCCATGGCAAAGGGGTGGTTGATTGACACTGTCTGGCTGTTTTGGCCGTCAAAATTCAGGCCCATACCAGACTGTATCATGGCACTCTGATACCATGAAGAAACTGATGCAAAATTGCTATGTTTTATTCAATGTTGATAGGGAGTTAAATAGATACATCGGTCTTGACCTAGCAGATCATCCAGCAATCATTCAAATGATTAGGCCTAGATCTTAGGAATCAGAATAATGATTAAAAGATAAGAAAATCCAATCAGGATCTCAATTTTAAATTCAAACAGCAGTGGACTAGGTCTATGACAGAATAAGTGAGCAATGAACTAGGGTTTTTTGGCCCAAGCCCATTAGGGTTAAGTCACCAAAAGATTAAAAAAAATCAAAGCCTACGAGAAGTCTCACATGACTATGGTATAGTAGTTAACTTTGATAGTAAGTTGCTGAATTGTGTTGCATAAGGATAATTGAATGAGCTAGAATAACTGGCCGCTTTAAATATATGCTTTTGAAATTTATATTGCAAGTCTTATTAAAGGAAAGAAAGAAATTTATATTGCGAGAAGGGGGTGGGTGGTTTTGGGCTAAATATTGAAGCAGCAGTTAGCCGCAAAAGAATTTTGCTGATTGAAAATGGAGACATTTTTTTTTTCTAGTTTTACATAGTAATACTGACAAATTGTACATCCTACTTTGTCCAAGTTTTCAAGTACATGTTCAAAGTGAGGAGTGGCTTATAGGATGCCCTATATCTGGGACATGGTACCAACTTCGTGTCCTTCCACTATTTCAATGGATCCAACACTAAACCTTTCTCACTTTGAGTTTGGGGACGTTGTGGTCAAAAGTTTGGAAGTAACATAGGAAAACCAAATGGCAGCTTGTTAGACCCTAGGGGCCTCATAGGATATACAAGCTTGTCGGTATTGTCCTATTGTCCAGGTACCGAAGGTAGAATTGGTGACCAACCTCATGTATGCATTGACTATTTTTACTTTATCTCTCTTTCTGTTAAAATAAATTCTTCTAGTTCCAAGGGCATCTCTGTGGGGGACACCATTATTTTTTTGGAGGTTTGTGAGATTTGGTTCGGTGCATTCTGAAAAAAGTTAACTGCCATGTGTCCTGACGTAAATATCATGCCAGGTAAAGGAACGTGCTGTAGAACTTGCTAAAGCCATGGAAAATGAAGATGGTGTAGCAGGCGCCGTGAAAGCATTTTACAAGCAGCTTCCTCGGAAGAAGTCAGAGGCAGAGGCAGAGGCAGAGCCAACGCCTTCAAGTTTATTTTCTATAAGTAGATGTTTTGGTTGTTCTTGATTTAATGTAAATTGTTCAGGGCCCACCTCATTCCATCTCTATTTTTAAATCACGATATTGATACTACAATCATAGGATGTGCTCAGCCCTTCATCCTTACCATAAGGTTACCAAATGCTGCGTATGCTCAATGCTTTTATTAACAAAATTCCATTTTAGTGTTAATGCATGTAATTATTCTAATTCAGGATGACTGATGTTTTATAATACGAGCAGGTGTTGAAAGGTTTTGTTTTTGTCATCCTCGTTCTGTATTTACCAATAGCTTATCTCTGGGAGTATTATTAAGTTGTACATCTTACATCCGTTCTTCTTTAAATTATTAAGTTAAAAATAATTAATGACGTTAAAATTTTTAAAATGTATCCATTAAGTTAAAAATATTTGAAAAAAAAAAAAGGAAAGGAAAGTGGAATAAATAATTGGAGTGAACATTTTTTGTTGTTGGAAAAGGACATGAAGGGTGAGGGGGGCAAGTAAGGAGTGGGCAAATGCGAGGAGTGGGTTAGCCCCATAACCTCCCAATTCAAAGTGAGTTGCAGAGCAGTCTGTGGTCAGAGCATTCATGCCATCCATTATTACTGCCCAGCTTCACCTGCTCTCATTCCCTTTTTCATTGGTCTCTTCTGCCGTTATGCTCCTCAATCAATGCTCTCTCTCTTCTGTTTTTTATGCCTCCATGAAATATTTCCTCCCTCGTCTCCTAAATATCTGCAAATATTAAAATATTAAAAGGTTAAGCCTACAGTGGGCAAAATCGCTATGATGTTAAATCTTTAGTGGCAAATTTGAACTCAAAAGTAATTTCCGGTGCCTAACGATTTTGAATGAATTTCTAAAATGAATTTGCACCTTAACCCAACATTAAAATGTAGGTTAGTGTTTACTTCCCCCCTTTCCAATCCTTCCCATTTCTCATGCATTGGTTTTTTTTTTTGGGGGTCATGACTCACATTTTCATTGTACTTTTACAAAGCGTCTAAACTTAAGACCTCATGCTTTAAAAAGACTTAATGTGTATGTTTGGTGTCATTGAGTTACGAGGCTTGGCCATAGATTAGTTTGAATTTATAATTTTAATTGTAATTTTGTTTGTCTTGTTTTTAATTTTAAGAGTATATTTAGTTTTTGTCATTCATTGTGATGATTGGTGAAGGATAAGATAAAAATGAAAAGAGATATTTTTTAATAAAATTAAACACATATTCCTTTGATTCTATTTACAACTTAGAAAGAATTTTTTTTAGTCTTATTTATAAATCAAATCATTAAACTAGTTGTTTTTTATATAACGATTTTGCATCACTAGGTAATGTAATACTCCTTTGGTACTCAATATAGTCATTTTTAACTAACACAAAAGCCAAAAAAAAAAGTTGATGTCTTAAAAACATTTTCTTTCTTTCAAATGAAATCTTAACATAGTTAACTATAGTTTGATCCAATTTTAGTTTTGATTCCTGTAATTTCAAGTCATTGATTTTGATCATATAGTTTCATAAAGATTTAATTTGAGTTTAAGTATAGGGACCAAAATTCAAATTTAATTAAATTATAAAGACCAACAATGATATTAATCCAATCCAAAACTTACTAGGGATAATTTTTGAAACAAAAACATTAATTATTCTTAAAATTCTACAAAATTTACATATATTTTAGAAATTTTTTTAAAATATGATCTATATTTTGTAATGGTGGGGAGTACTTGTTTAACATGAAATTCTTGTATAGCGGTAGATTAATATGAAGCCTCCTGTTTTTTCAAAATTCCAAATACATACACACTACTTTTTCCCTCCTATTAATGGTCTCTTGTATCCATGAAGTGTGTAACTGAAAATGGTTGGTTTTAGTCAAAATGTGATTTTGACGAAAACAAACTGAGAATCTTAAAAGCCCATCTTAATGGAGTTATAAAAACAACAGAAAAGCAGTCTTCTATATACAGAATTATAAATATTTAAAATTAATTAATTTTATAAAAGTAAAGCTATCTCCAAAGGTGGCAGGGGAAGTGATACACAGGGCCTGTTTGAGATCATAATAGAAATTTCCTACAAACACGTTTTATGTAAACTGAGACAAAATTCTTCTCACATATTTATATCATATTCCGTAAATTACTATTAAAAAGTTATTTATAAGCTGTTCTAAATGGTTTATAGTGGGGAAGGAGAAGAAGTTGGAAGGGGCAATAATTATGAAGACAAGAAGCCAAAGAAAGTCATGAAACGGCGAAGTTGTCAGATTCAACTTGCGAACTATGGAGTTGCATCATGCTAAGATTAAGATGGAATGAATAAAATGTTTTGTTTGGGAAACGCAAAATGTCTCTTATCTCTTCTCTTCCCGCTTCCCAAGCCCATACGCCTCTCTCTATTTATTGGTCACACTCCATCGCAAACAGCCTCAGCGATTCTGAACTGCCTTTTTCCGCTGTTCCCTTCACAGAGTATTGACATGGAAGATGAGGAAAAAGTAGTCCGCAAGGTCGGAGGAGGAGAAGAAGACTCTCGAGTTTTCCAGTGTCAGTTCTGTTCGAGAAAGTTTTACAGCTCTCAAGCTTTGGGAGGACACCAGAATGCCCACAAAAAAGAGAGAACGGCTGCGAGAAAGGCTAAAAGGGCATTTGAGTGTTCATCTGCCTCTTTTGCTTCTTCTCTTCCGCCTCCAATGCCTTTTGGTGCTCCCACCCATCAAATGGGTCTTCTGAATCCTACCGTGTTCCTCGCTTCAAACCTCGGTCACTTCCAAACGCATCAGATTTTTGACCACTTTGGAGCGAACGTTGCGCCTAGATTTGGCGGGAATGCTGTGTTTTATGAGGGAAGCTGTTCGAGCAGTGGGTTTTGTGAAGATGTCGGCGAGAGAGGCTTGGGGAATTGGCGCAGGAACATGTCATTGACAAACGACGATCACGGGATTGGCATAATGAGTCATTGTAAAGAGAAAGATCAAACTCTTGATCTGACTCTTCATCTATAGATTCCTTTTTCCTTTTGTTCTGGCAGGGAAGAGGTTGGGATGAAATAGTGGAGGCTAAGAGTTGTTTCTCATAATCTGTACTCTGCGTGGAAGACAAAAGCCTTGTTCTTTTTTTTAAAAAAAAAAAGAAAGATGACTGATGTTGCATTGATTGAGAATGAGTAATAAATTTCAATTCAGGCAGGTGTTCTTCCAAAGAGGAAAAACTTGTATGGAAGGTACTCTTGTTAGTTGAAACCAGACATTCTGTGTATCATGTTATGATTTTCAGAGTACCGTGATGAAAAGTACTCAAAAGTCAATCCTCCCTTCTGTGAGCACTTTGCTTATTTGGGCTTCTATACATAAAAGGAATCGGGCTTATTTGGGAAGCCCGACAATTTGACCTGTATTGTCAGCTCTGCCTAAAACTTAATGATCAAAATTAGAGAAACAGTAGTTTGAAGGTTGAGCTCATATGGGTCAAGACTCTCCACTTCAGAAGAAGCCGGTTTTCATTTTTGTTGTTGGGGAAGACAAGAGCCTTTTTTTTTTAAAAAAAAAGAAAAGATGACTGATGTTGCATTGATTGAGAATGAGTAATAAATTTCAATCCAGGTGTCCTTCCAAAGAGGAAAAACTTGTATGGAAGGTATTCTTGTTAGTTGAAACCAGACATTCTGTGTATCATCGTTATGATTCAGAATACCATGATGAAAAATACTAAAAAGTCAATCTTCCCCTTTGTGAGCACTTTGCTTATTTGGGAAGCCCGACAGGTTTGACCTGTATTGTCAGCTCTGCTTAAAATTTAATGATCAAAATCAGAGAAACAGTACTTTGAAGGTTGAGCTCATATGGGTCAAGACTGCCCCCTTCAGAAGAAGCAGGTGTTCATTTTTGTTGTTGAGAAAGCCCATATGGGGCCTTGTTTTGTGGTTTAATTCCATTGGGTCCAAAAGCCCAACAAGGGATCTCATCGCCTCATCTCTCATCAAACATTTTCATGATGGCTTTCCCTCTATTATGAATATCAAGATGCTTGCATGGAAGAGCACAAGCAAAGGTTTTTAAAAAGAATGAAGGGGTGGTTGGGGGGTCACATGGGAACAGAGTTGAGAAGTAAAGAGAAATGAATGGATAAGAGTCATAATGAATGGATCGAGGTGGCAAAAGCTGGCATTTGTCTCTCACCCGGCCACCCTCATATATTCCCCAGTACCCTTCCATGCACCCAATGTCCCACTCATCCGTCCCTCCATCCATCCTCACATGTTTCTTCGATCTCTCAATCATTTCCTCTTCCTTTTCTTTTCTTCTTATCTATTTACATAATTCATTTCAAACTATACAATATATATATGTATATATAATACCCCCCCCCTTTTAACAACGTTCACCCAAATGGCAGCCACACAATCATCTCAGGCGACTTTGCCTAAACAAAACTTTCATTAACAACGTAACGTTCATCATATATACATTCTGTTCTGTACCATGTTTGTTAATGATGATGTCCACCAACACATTATGAGCCTCCCACATTCCACGCCAATGACAGCGCCTGCTGTTTTAATTCTCCCGTTTATTTAATCCCAATATTCTTCCTCATCACTCCCATCATTTGCTAAATTACTCCTAATCATTGGTTTCATCATGTACTACGTAGTGCCTTCCATGTCTTCTTTTTTTAACACGTACAATTGACTTCTTCCACTCTTGTTTTCATCCTCCGATCCAGCGGTTTTTCATTCTTCAAACCAAGGGAATCCTGCTGGCCACATATATCCTTTCATGTACTCACCTCCATCTCAATGTTCTTTCAATTTTTAATTTCTTATATCTTTTCTAGACTTTTTTTAAAAATAAATTAACTTATGAAAAATATATAATGAGTACATGCATGTGATTCACTTCTCTCATCCATCATCCCTTCTTTTCTTTCTATTTTCTTAAAAACTCTGTGAGAATCATCTTCATGCAGCGCAGACAAAAAGGTTCTCTCTCTCTGTCTCTGCGCACATAGTATTAAATTGTGTAGGATATGTTATTTTATATACGTATCACATATATGCATGTCCTTAAGAATACACACGCCTGAATAAGGGATTGACACGTACCAAGCTACGCATTCTATCTATGCATAACTTGTGTTGCTGCATTATGGACACTTATTTCAGCAGGAACCTAAATCTCAATTCACTGCATAGATGAGAAATTAGTTTCTTCCGTTGTACCTGACTTCCCATTACTTCTGCACCTTATATATAAATA